AAAAAAAAAGACAAATAATTAGATTGTAATTACAGAAGCAAAAAAAAGTTGTTCAAATGTAGGCAGTAAAACTGAAGGAAATCGCCAGGCATAACTATATATATTGATATAAATAGTGAAAAGTACACCATAATTCATTAACAAAAAATAAATACCAAAATTATTTCCCTCTAAACTTGGACCTTTCAATAAGTAGTTAAAAGACTAACTAAGACTGAAATTTAAAAAGAAAAGAAGAAAAGCACTAAAGGAGAGATCTCAAGTGTAGGACAAAATTTAGGACAAGGATCGTTAAACACCGTCTGCATAAAATACTTGAGAAATCAATCATCACTTATCAAAAATATTTACTGATCTTAACAAGTCAAAAATTACAGTCCACTTTTTATTTCTACAAAAAAATTACTGAGCCTATTCTAAGCGCGTTGGCTCGCCTTCAATTGGAATGCCAATATTAAAGCAATATTACAATCACACCACTTACCCAGTAATATTTTCCACATAACATCCACTTAAGTCAAACATACCCGCTTAGCTTTTTACCCATACCTGTAAACGTTATTTTCAAATTAACCAAAAATTGTGCTTTCACTGATTATCGAACAGTTGGTTAGTAAAAGCAAAATTTTAGGTTGGCTTAAAAATAACGCTTAGGGAAATGTCTCTCAGGCTAAAGAGGTATGTTTTTGAGTATTTACAGCTACCAGAAAAAACCATTTATTGCAAATCTGTAAAAAATATACTCATTATCCTAGCTTTAAGTCCCAGCTGAAGCACTACTAAAACCACTAAAAAAAGTACAAAAAAAATTTCTTTTTCTTTTGATTTCATGCTTAAATTCTATATCTTATTATTTCGAAAAACCTATAAAATTTTAACATTTTTGTAAAAGATATGTAGAGTATTAGATGAAGTAGCATGAGCACCATTTAAATATCAGTAATATTACAGCCCTTGTACAAGAATTCATTGAATCCTACACATATCGTTTTCCTGTAGATCTTCCACTACCTTTTTTTCGTAATACTCAACAAATTTCTCTCGAAGAGAATTTAAATCGTTTTCGATACGTTCCAAGTCCTCAGTGCCTCTTCGTATGTGACGTTCGGCAACTGCCAAAGGCATAGGACTGGAATCCGTAGGTAACGCTTCGACCTCTGATTCCGACATTGATTCACCTGTCAAAGACAGTTCTTACATTATTCATAATATAAAGCTGCAGAAAAAAGCGTCATTTCTAATGGAAATAAAATAGCTAATAAAGAAGACACTAACTTCGACAACCTAACAGACGACTGACACTTGGCAAGTCACCGTTCAGCGCCTTCATTGCAGTATCTTTCAAGCACTTGGCAAGTAGACGGCATTCAACGGTTGAAGCTGTCTGTTTACGAATCAACGTTGAAAGAGCTGATGAAAGGCTAATTTTGTCGTTCGACTGAGAAAGTTGTTGAGTTGACTGAGATTTTTTTAGTCGAGAAGAATAGGAACATGGAGGAGGTATTTGTTTGGTCTAAAAAAATGATATTAGTCGCAGCGAAATTCTTAAAGCCGAAATACACTGGTTTATTAGCAAATATTATTAGTCATCATTTTGAAGAAAAAAAAAAGAATACCGATGCTTTAGGAGTAAGCTCCTTCAACTCCTTTATACCTCCAAAATATCGTGGCAGTTCAATTTCAGTTAGGGAATGTGCATCTTCACACGGGGTAGCCGAACCACTACTAATTTTACACGATGCTTCCATTTTCATGGCCTATAATATTCAACAAAAATTTTCTTAAACTATCGCACCATGACTGTCTGTGAAAAGCTCCATAAAAACTGTTATAGTTATACTGCAAAAACCTTTAATAATAACAGTGTTTAACAAAAAATTGTACGAGAAAGATCAAAAATCACTATGAAATCTTATAGAATTTGATTTCAAAGCTTTGAACCTTCTACATTATTTTTTTAGTTTTCAGGGGAATAAAGCTTTTTTTTAAACCAAGACAGCACTTCTATAATTTTGTATATTGGCGAAAAAAACATTAGCAGAAGAAAAAAATTTAAACGTAGGAATCAACTAAAAAAACTTACAAAAATTGAGTCTTCCAATTCTCTTACATTCTTTTCTTTAGCTTCGACAGCATGCTTTAATTCAGCGTTTGCTGCTTCCGACTTTTTAAGCTCTTCCTTAAGTTTATCCATTTCCACCGATAGACCACTTAAATGTTCAACTTCAGCTCGCAAATGAGACAACTCTTTTTCCTTAAAGAAAATGTACAGTAAAAATTGAAATTTAGAATGCTTTCCAATATATTTAAATCTTTTTTTATACACGTAAAAAAGACCTGAGCTGAGATTTTCTCTAGTGAATCAGAAATTGCAGAGTTACGAGCGGCTTCAACATATGTCGCCCTTTCGCGATATTCAGAACATTCAACCTCCAGTTCATTCAAGCGTGATTTCACTTTCCCTAGTTGAGATTTTGCATCCTGTGATTCTTTCCGGAACTTGTCGACCTGATAACAAATGATGACAAAAGCTGCCATGAAAAGATAAGGTTCAAAAACTTCTCAAAAAGTTAGCAGTAATTATCCAAGTTTTCAAAATTTATCCAGTAAACAAAATAATTAAATTTACAGAACTAAGCTTACTTCTTCATCAAACTGAATTTTGCTAAATTCCATACGTGAGTAACATTGTCGAAGTTGTGATTGCAATCTGAAAAAATGTTAGGCTGACAGGCATTTATTAAAATTGAGCAAAAATGTTTTCGTTAAAAACAAATTATACCTCTCTATTTCAACTTCTTTATCAGCAATTTCTTGTGCCATCAACTGTTGGGCAGTAGCCGGTGAAACAGGAGAAACAATTACTTGAGAACCTCAAACAAAAAAATTATTGTTCTAGACAACCAACATAAAACGATTTAAAAATTCAATGAACTTCGCTGTAATATACAAAAAATGACTATATTACTGAAAAGCCTACTTTGTTTTAGGCAAAATTACAATTTTCAATCTTTAATCTTGGTTTGAAAAGTAACATATTAATTGGTTGTGAGCGAAAAATAGATATAGAGCTGAAAACTACTCTTACCTTTTCCATTCACCGGAAGGATAAAAGAAGTTGAAGTTGTTGGTCCGGCACTAGAAATCTGTCCATTACTGCTGTTGACAGCAGCTTCTAGTTCTCGAACACGTTTTTCTAGTGCGATCACACGAATATCACTGCTCGACCTTACACGTATATTTCGATCATCGTCTATGCGAATCACAGCTTAAAAAAAAGAATCATTTTTGGTTACACAAAAGTTCTAATTTAAAATGTAGAAAAAGCTAATATTAACAGTTAAAAAACGCAATCAACAAACATGTCGTGCGTGGATCACTAAGTGGCATCACAGCGACGGCAACATCTCGACTATAACTATGCCGATTCTCATACTGCGGCGGATATGCTGCAGTAACAGCACCGCTACTTCGACGACGATGAGTTATTTGCATATCCCTACACAATGTAACATAAGAATGTCATTTATCTTAAACTTAATTGAGAAAAATCATTAACGAAAGAGAAAAAAAGAACCTACAGAATGCCCTAAACAACGGGAAAATCAAATATTCAATCCACTATAGGCGTACCAACAAAAAGAGAACAACGAATTTACTGTTGCTTGTGAATGGCAGCAATAAATACGCATATATTTTATGTGTATCAATGGAAAACAATGAATATTACATTTACCCGTTAGTGCGAAATGGAGTTTCACAGATATCACCATTATGTTGGCGAAAATGTGGTTGTGGTGCCACTATAACCTAAACTTTTTAAAGCAAAAGATTAAATCACCTTTTCCATACACAAAATAATTCTTCAGCAACAAAAAAACCTGATTATATATTGAGCAAAAAAATAAATCACCAAGTAAAAAGCTGAGTAAAAAAAAAGTAAATTACTCTGCTATATAATAATACCTTTTTTGAGCCGTTATTAGACAACACAGATCTTTTGTCCACAGTAGTCGCGTATTGATAATTGAACCCATTACTTAGCGGTATCCGATTACTAAAAATAACGATAGTGAAAAAAATATAGTATACTTTAGAAAAATTTATTCAAACTGAATCTGCTGATAAAATGTTGTAAATGTAATAATTTAGTTTAAAAAAACTTGTTGAAAAGAAAAAAAACAGTTTCATTTCTCCGACCAACAAAGCAAAGTACTTATTTTTTTCTTTTAGTTAATAATAAAAACTAAAAATCATTCTTAAGCGAGGAAAAAAGAACGATTAAACAACGAGATTTCAGATACGTACGGTGTACTTGGAGATTTCACCGCCACAACAGCATTTTCGTTGTTAATACTGGTCGATGACGGTGTCAGACGTAATTCAGTTGGACGATTGGGACGAGAATCTGAGGTATACATGTCAAGGCTGGGAAACCCTAAGCATTCTCCGGTAGGACTGGTACAAAGCTGATATGGACCACCACCTGCAAACCAATTTGTTTTTTTTTTCAAAATAACCATTAAGTTTATGTAAAGCAATAAAAACCTCCCAAAAATTTACCAATTAAAGGGTATAGGCAATGAGACTGTAGCGAAAGGAAACAAAGACAAATCTTTCATTGACAGTACTGAGGCAGTAAGAATACAGCAAAGATAAACAGAAAAGATTCAGCAAACAATGTAGTTTTAGCCTTCGAAAAAGCAGCTTTTTTTCCTTTGGATATTTAGTGTCAACTATAAATAAAAGAAAAAAAATTGAAGATAAAGAATTGTTCAAACAACTTATGCTTCAAAAATTGTCACTAATCTAAATTAGAATTAAATAGATTAATAAATCTCAAAAAAAGAAAAGCAAAAAAGACAAATCATCAAGAATTATTCTTCTAATGGTTAATGTTTAAATGCTAAATCTTGAGAGAAATTTTGTCTATTTTTTTCCAAACTGAGATAATTTATTTTCGCAGCAGCATTTAAAAAATTCAGCACTTTCACATTGGTTCATCAATTATCAATTGTAACCAAATAACAGTAACTGATTGAGACAACAAATGAATATTTCAATACCAAATGTCATTGTCCATAGCAGAATTTCACATGAAATCAATTGACGGAAAAGTTCTTTTGATGCTACTCCTTTAAAAACTGCCCATTTGCCGTCCTTTGGTCTACGACAATTTCACTATTAATTTGTTAAGACCGGTCAATGTTTCGAAACGTTGAAAATAAGCTCAAAAAAATGAAAAAACTACGCTATAAAAATCATAAATAAAACTCTTCTAAAAAAAATTTACTTTTTTTTTTCAAATCAAAAATTCTACTTCAAAAACTCAGCTTTAAAAGTGCTTTCTCAAGACATAAATGAAGAAAAAAAAGCGTAATAAAAAAAAAATAAGATATAAAAATAAGACAAAACAGAAATGACGTTACTTTTCTTTCCCTTTTTTGGGCACTATACCTATACTAAAAGCAGTAAATATGTATGTTTACTGCTGACTACAAAATGGCACTAAAAATATGTAATAAATTTTTTGAGCAACTCAAAAGAAAGGAAGAAATTATGAGTACACTTTTTTTTTTCTCTGTTTAGAAGAGATATAAAAGTTTTGAGGGGAAAATACTTAAAATATGTCTCAAAAAAGAGAAAAGCTCTTTTTCTTTCCTAAACACTACTTTTAAGAACAAATAATAACCAGACTAATTTTATAGTTTTATACCGAAACTTTTACCATTACCTTCTATTCTTTTCCCCTCCACCATTGTTTTCGTATCATCTGATAAAACATCATTATTTGATATCAGTTAAACAAACAAAAAACCAAATTATCGAGGAAAAGACTTTCGAATAAATTCGAAAAATTTTTTTTTTAATTTTTTTCTTGTTATTAATTCAAAAAACATATTATAGTGTATAATTCGCCGTATCTTTCTTTTTGTTGACTTTTCTAAGACTTTGGAATTGCAATAAGTGCCATCGATCAGAACAAAAATGAAATTTTTGCAGCTATCAAAGATCTTTCTTCTTCTTTTTTTCTTTTGAAACAATAACGGTGATAAATGAGTTCCATATTAAAATGTTTTGTTGTTGCTGTTGCTGTCGGTTTTTTTTTTTTTTTTTTGATAAACAGATCAAAACTAAAGTATATTTAAGCAAAAAAGAAAGAAAGAAAGGAAAGAATCAACGTATACACCTAATTAATTTTTGCCTTTTAAAACTTTCAAAAAAAAAATGAATGAGCAGACAAAAGTCCTTCGTCTTTGCCTTTGTAGTTTTCAGCCGAGATAAATGGAAAAGTAGAAACAAACAAACAAACAAACAAACGAATAAATGAGAAAAAAACTAGGAGAAAATGAAAAACCTAGTCTATTGGCTTATATAGTTAATAATCTTAGATTTAGGTGCAAAGTAAAAAAAAAAACAAAATTAAAAACTGCCGGCAAACTGATTCTTCAACAACAGGGCAGCAGCTATTTGAACGGCTAAAACAGCGTAAATAAAACCAACAACGTTCTTTTCGTTGTTTCCAGGATGAAAAAAAAAGAAGAGTAAGAAAAAAACAGAAAATTTATGCTTAAAACTCATCATAAAATAACAGCTAATGCAAATGTCAAATATTCTGAAGACGTAAAGAGAGGAAAAAAAAACGAAAATCATTAGAAATGCGCACAATATTAAAATAAAAGAAGAAAGACCAAGCAAAAGAAGACCAGAACTCAGAAAACTGCTGTTGCCGTTGCTGTTGCTGCTTGGTGAAGAAGATGCTACTAATGGAAACAACGGCTTTGATTGCCATTTCCTGCAGCTAAGCCAAATGCAATTCTGCCCCCTGTCACCCAGGCAAAGCTCAGTTAGTCAGTCAGTCAGTCATTCAGCCAGCCAAGCCATCCCAAGCCAACTCAAGCCAAGGCAAGCCGAGCCAAGCCAACAACATCATGCAACATTCTCAAAGGCCAAACAAATCCGGCCAAATACTCTCCGATCCGTGTGCATCTTTCGTCTTCTATTCCACTGCTGCCGTTATTGATATCTTTTTTGGCTTAGCAGCTATTAGCCCCTTACCCGCAAATTTTGCTCACTGTATTTGCATTGTCCAAAAAAAAAGAAAAAAAATTTACCACTAAAAATCTGTTATTAGGAAGAAAAAAGTGTTTAAAAAAGCATAATTTCCAATAATATTAAAGCATTCTTTTGTCTTTTCTTTGTTCCACATTACACCTCCATTAAAAGCTACAAAAACGGAAGTAATTATGCAGAACTTTAGTTATACTATTCTTATTTTAAAAAAAGAAAAAAATTACAGAAATTGAAAATATTTAATTCTTCAAAAATTCATTAATATAAAAAGATGAAAGGAAAAAAGTGGAAAACAAAGAACAATAACAACAACAAAAGAAAAAAAACTGCAGTGATATTAAAGTTGACGTTAACTGATCCACTACAAACAACAAAAAAAAGCGTTTTATACATCAAATCAATAAATTGAGTTACTTCTAAAGGACAAAAAAATTATTGGCAATAGAAAAGTGGAGCCAAAGAAGTAACAGGAAGAATTGTCTGAAGCTTTTTTTCTTCTTTTTAATACTAAAAATTTTTACAGCAATGTCTGACATAATAAATAGGGCAAGAAAAAAGATTTCTTTATGCCTATAAATTTATTAACCAAGCAAAAATACTACTAAGCAAAGCAATTGCATGATGAACAACAGATAGCAAGCAGATGGTAGAATAATTTGGTGTTAGAAACAACCAATTCAAATGCTTTGTTAGCTAATAAAA